AGCGTCCGCCACCTGTGTGAACTTTCTGGTGTTGAATAAGGTGTGAGATCTGGGTATAGGTTTTCCCACACTTGTTACATTTGTAGGGCTTCTCTCCGGTGTGAATTCTCTGATGCTGAATAAGGTGGATGCTCTGGTTGAAGGCTTTTCCGCATTCCTTACAGGCAAAGGGTTTCTCACCAGTGTGAATCCTCCGATGCTGTGTGAGGGATGAGTTATGACTGAACGTCTTCCCACAATCCTTGCACTTATAGGGCTTCTCGCCCGTGTGGATTTTCTGATGCTCTATAAGGTGGGTGCTCCGGCTGAAAGCTTTCCCACACTCACGGCACTCATAAGGTTTCTCTCCAGTGTGAATCCTCTGGTGTTGAATGAGGTGGGAAATCTGGGTGTAGGCCTTCCTGCACACGTTACACTCATAGGGCTTCTCACCAGTGTGAATCCTCTGGTGGCGTGTCAGGGAAGAGTTCTGGCTGAAGGTTTTCCCACATTCGTTGCATTTGTAGGGCTTCTCACCAGTGTGAATCGTCTGGTGTTGAGTAAAGGATGAGGTGTGACTGAAAGCCTTGCCGCACTCATTACATATATAAGGCTTTTCCCCCATGTGAATGCTCTGGTGCCTCATGAGGTGGGAAATCTGCGTATAAGCCTTCCCGCACTCATGACACTCATAGGGCTTCTCGCCAGTATGGATTCTCTGATGCTGAGTCAGGGAAGAACTGTGGCTGAAGGCCTTGCCACACGCAGAGCACTCGTAGGGTTTTTCTCCTGTGTGCACCCGCTGATGCTGGGTCAGGGATGAGCTGTGGCTGAAGGTTTTCCCACACTCGTTACATTTGTACGGTTTCTCTCCAGTGTGGATCGTCTGGTGCTGGGTCAGGGAGGAGGTGTGACAGAAAGCCTTGCCACACTCACTGCATTTGTAGGGTTTCTCCCCCGTGTGGATTTTTTGGTGCCGGGTGAGGTGGGACACCTGTGAATAGAACTTCCCACACTGGTTGCATTTATAGGGTTTCTCCCCGGTATGGCATCGCTGGTGTTTAATGAGGGAGGAGCTCTGGGTGAAGGCCTTCCCACATTCCTTGCACTGGTATGGTTTCTCTCCAGTGTGGATCCTCTGGTGCTCGGTCAGCGATGAGCTCTGAGTAAAGGTCTTGCCACATTCGTTGCATGCATAGGGCTTCTCTCCTGTGTGAATGATGTGGTGCTGAATGAAGTACGAGCTGTTGCTGAATGCCTTCCCGCAATCCTTACACTTGTAGGGTTTCTCTCCAGTGTGAATTCTCTGGTGCAGGATATAGTCTGAATGGTAAATGAAGGCTTTCCCACATTCTCTGCAGTTAAATGGTTTCTTTTCTACAAAAATCCTTTGGCATTTTGAACTCTTTCTTGGCCCATTCCACTTCCGAGGCCTGTCTCCCCCAGGCACTCTGTGCTTCCTGATGAAGGCAGAGGACCGCCTGAAGCTTTTCCCAATCTCGTTACAGCCAAGGCCTCTCTCCCCACATGTGTTTTCCTTAGGAGAAGCAAAAAAACACCTCAAATGCCTCTCCTGCTTTCCCCATTCCTCCAGTTGGTAGCCACATGTCTGCAATTCCCCCATCTTGGTATCTCCAAGCACTGCTCTTAAAATTTCCTCCATCTTTCCCATTGAGGAAGCTGTCTCTTCAGAAATAACCATTTTTAGCAGTGTCTCTTGAGTAGTTGCCGAGCTTGTCTCCAACTCTAAAAGAAATGGAAACTATGAATATCATCTGTTCCAGGACAAGGGAAGCTGATTATTCAGAACTGGCATTGTAAAATTTAAAAAGAATTTCAAAATTTATGTTTCTATTTCAAAAGGCATAAGGTAGATAGATTCATGTGACACAGAAGGATGGTCTCAGTAGATTCTAAAAACAAAAAGAACTGAGTTACAAACCAGGTTATGTGCACAGTGGTTTATGAGTCATAATATATAATACATTTTTACAAATCAATAAGAAAAAGAGAAACCATCTAATAAAATAGTGAAGCAAGAATATGAATAGACATTTTGCAGAAGAAAAACAAGTGGCTCAAAATATGTAAAAAGATGCTCAACATCAGTAATAGTCCAAAAAATCAAATTACTCAGAGCCATTTGACGTTTTTTAGACCCAGGCTGGCCAATCAGAATACCCGCTCCCACAGACCATACTAATTGGTTCAAGATCCAAACGGCCAATCAGAGTCTTCCTTGAGATTGATATATGGTGTTGTTAGGCAGAACATAAATGTGAGACTGGGAAGCCATATTGACTGCCATGTGGAAAGGCCTGAAGATAGACTGAAGCTAGAAACAGACACAATCAACACGTAGAGGGAAGAAGGGAAGGAGAGAGAGAGAGAACAAGTGAGCCCTGATAACACCATTTACAGCTTTACATCCATCTATGCCTAAAGTCTTGGACTGCAACATTTCCCACTTATATGGGTCAAAAAAATCTAATTTTGCTTAAGCTATTTTGATTCTCTTTTTAAAAAAAAAAAGATTTTATTGGGGAATCGGAGAAGGGGAACAGACAAGTTGCTGTCCTTTTGTTCTTCAGTCTAGTTGTGGAGGACGTCGCTTCACTGGCCCATGTTAGTATTATCATTGNAAAAAAAAAAAAGCAAACTGTAGTATTCATTGCATTACTCTTAACACCCAACTGCCATTCATGGCAAGTGATACTGGTTGTCTATTCACAGCTGTGGCTGCAACTTTTAAAGGGCATTGACTGAAACAGGAGAATCCTGGTGCAGGCACTTGGCATCTCAGGAGAATGCAAAACCAAGGAGGTGACATATGGATGCCTAACGTTGAGAAGGTACTGTTATAAGAAATTATACCTAAGAACCCACTGTATAAAACATAAAAGTGGACACACTCTGGTCGAAGGGTTAAGGAAACTTGCCCTTGTTGACCTGTTGTTCAGTGTAAAAGTGCTAGAGCTAGGATTTGAACCTGAGCAGTCAGGCTCCAGACCTGGACCCTTACCCACTATGCTAAAGGCAAAGACTCCATTCTGTCCTTTAATAGATGGTGACCCTGGGCAGGCGCCATCACCCCTGTGAGCCTGTTTCCTCATACATAACACAGCAGTAACAATAGTAGGGCCTCCACTGGGAGGATGTGAGAATTAAATACGTGTGAAATGTTTAGAGCTGTGTCTGGCACCTAGGATGCATAAATAGTAGCTGTTTCAGTACAATACTTTTTAGTAATTAATAGCTTAAGAGTAACACTACCCCTTGGCTCATAATAAGCTCTCAACACATTTTATTATTATAAATTTTAATTATTTATTTTGTAAGATTAGCATATATAAACTTGGAAACCTAGCACTTAACCTCGACCTTAGCACAGCACCTGGCAATCAATAAGTGATTAAAAAATGTATTACTAGTAAAGCAATAATAGATTTCTTATACTAAACATTTACTTCCTTAGAAAGTGAGCTTAGAAACAAAAGAAACTAAGCTGGTTCCGCACCATTCAAATCAGCCCATGAGTCTCCAAACCAAGAGCAAGCGATCAGTGAACAATTCTGGACGAACCCCCATTGCTCTCTGAGCCTCAGTTTCCCTACTGGACTCAAGGATTCTCAGAACTTAAGCGCGTTCCGCCCACTCCGGCTTCATTGGCTTAACCTACCCTCCCCCTCAAGTACCTGGAAATTGGGTCGGCCTCCCACGAAGAGTTCGCTCCCATACGTAATTCCCACCATAGCGGCGCTGCTGCATCCGCAACCCATGCCATGCATGCCTTTGTGCCTGCGCAGACTCCTGGATAAACTACATTTCCCAGATCCCTGCAGGTTTCGGAGTCTCCTGGGCCACCGTCCTATGACAAAGGCGGAAGGAACCCTGAAGTCCCCGGCGGCTTTCACTTAGGGTACACCGATGTCAATGGCTTCTTCTGTCTTCCGTAGGAGGAGTGGAGAAGGAGAAGGATGCCATGCAGTTCGTTTCCTGTCGACAGGCTACATTCTGAAATCTAGCCATCATCAGTATGCGTCTCCTGGGCAACCGTTAACTCTGGAAACGAGTCTGTCTCCATGGCAACTGTCCAAGCACTAGCGCAGAGCAATGGCCCCCCCATCAGAGGTGCTTTTAAGTAGTAGAGATGCTCAACAAAACAGCGTGCTCTGCTCATAAAACTTAATGGAAAACGTGTTAAACCACAAGGAATGAAGGGAGGAAAACTGAGCAGTGCAGGATTGAAAGAGTTGGTGTGAGGAAGGTTTCTCAGAGGAGGGACATCTTTGAATAAGGCTTTGAGGGATGAGTAGGCGGTCGCCTGGAAGAGAAAAAAATACTGTCCTATCTATCTGGCCAAAATTTAAAACTGTTTGACATACAGTCTTAACGAGGGTGTGGGAAAACTACCATTTTCCTACCATACAGGTGGCGATGGGAATGGGGATGGGAAGTAAGTCAATCAATTGGGGAGTATTTTCTGAGAATTTACTACGTTCCAGGCAGTGCTCTAGGCGCTGGGAATATAGTGGTGAAAGACACACATGGACCCTGCTTTCAGAGAGTCAGAGAGCAGGCAGCAAATAGAAAACATAGCAGGAAATTATGATAAATACTATGACGTAAACAAGCAAGGAGCTGAGATAGGAATGAAAGGGTAACTGTGTGATAACGAAGTAGAATTATTTGAAAACAATGTAAAATAACCATATAAATTTCAAGGGAATTGTAGAGAAATATTAATGTATAGCACCTGTAGATTTCTTCTTCCTAATGTTTGCAAAAATTTGAATTGGGGTTTTTTACTTGCCACCGAAGTCACCCTGAGGTGGTAGGATACAGTAGGATGAATGGCTTGCTTTTGGTCCTTTTGGCTACTCAAGCTAGTAAATTATCTTTCTTGTTTGAGCTATTTTGAGTTGTTTTTTGTTACTTCAAACCCAAAACATCTTTGTAATATAGTCTTATTATTTGCATATAAAAGATAAAGAAACTAGATGAGACTGCAAGACAATGGCAATGGCAAGATTCAAAATTAGGTTATTTTCTACTAATTTAATTATTCTATATTAGTGTGTTAGTAAGCGGGAGGGGTGTGAGTCTTCGAGAGGAGAGTGGACTACATGTGCTGAGAAACATACACGTATGGTAGAATATCTTAGGATGAGGGATTTAAAAATGTTACAGTTGCTGGCTTTGAAGATGGAGAAAGGGGACACAAACCAAGGAATGCAGGTGATCTCTAGAAACTAAAAATTCATACCATAAAGCATTAAAAAATGCAGATGGAATACAAATTTAATTCTTAAAAAATCATAAAAGTGGGCCGGCCGAGTGGTGCAATGGTTAAGAACTCGCTTGGGATGCCAGAGGGCCCCGGTTCGGATCCCACATATGAGGGCCAGTGACACTGCCCTCCATAGCTAAGATGCTGAACAACAG